TGCATGGAGCAAAGCCCTCCATTCCCCTGGTAAACAATACACATGCACCCAGACATCCATCTGATTTAAAAGAAAACATTATTCATCAGACCATGCAACCTTCATCAATTGCTCCATGGTCCAGTTCAGATGCTAACACCCTCATTGAAGGTACTTTCAGCAATGAACGGGGCACTCTGACCAGTCTTTGACTACACAGTCCCATATGCAGCAAACTACGATGCTCCTAAGTGTGATTAGAGCAGGCAGGGCCGTCTTTAATATTGATTGGGCCCTGGGCAAGCATTTGCTTGGGCCCCCTGGATCCACTCCCTAGCATGCAATCACGCCTCCACCCCAACGCAGTGGGCGAACTAAAGTAGAAAGAGCCCTGGTGCAAGAATTTCATTTGGACCCCCAATTGCAAGGTTGGAAAGAAGGTAGAACCCTATCTGTCGTGCAACTCCAACAATGCATTGACAGCCGTGGCTCTACCAATTTCCCATGCTTGCAGGGTTGTATTTAGCACTGTGTTTGTGTGTTTGAATGTAAGCATGTTTTTGTATGGAGTATGTTTGTGTGAATGTGTTTGTATGTGGTGTTAGAGTTTGAATGCAAGTGTACATTTAAGTGTAGTGCTGGTTTTTGAATGTAGGGGTTTGTTTATATATAATTCTGTTGTTTAACACAGAGGTGTGTTTGTATGAAGTGTTGACTTTCAATGCAGGAGTGTGTTTGTATGTAATGTTGAAGTTTGAATGGAAGGGTGTATTTGTATTTATTGTTTGTGCTCAGACACCGGTAGACATGCTGACACACAAGCAGATACACACACTGACTACATACATATACGCACACAGATAAACACACAGACACATACAGATACACAGACAGATAAACAGACATACTGACACACATAAATACATACAATGATAGACATACTGAAAGACACACTGACACAAACGGTCTCACAGGCACATATGATGACAAACATACTGACACACACAGGCACAAACACTGATAGACATACTGACACACACACACACAAACAGGCACATATACAGACATACTAACACACACACAGTATCTCTATCAGCATATGTGGCTGTGTGTGTGTCAGTATGTCTGTATATGTGCCTGTGTGTGTGTGTGTCAGGATAGCTATCAGTATAAGTGTGTGTTTGTGTGTGTCAGTATGTCTGTATATGTGCATGTGTGTGTGTGTCAGTATGTCTATCAGTGTATGTTTGTCATTGTATGTGCCTGTGTGTGTCAGTATGTCTATTAGTGTGCCTGTATCAGTATGTATATCAGTGTATGTGCCTGACACACACACACACATACACTGGAAGACATACTGACACACACAGAGACATACTGACACACAGATACATACACTGATAGATATGCTGACACACACACACACACACATACACACTAATAGGCATACTGACACACAAACAGGCACACACACTGACAGACATACTGACACACACAGATACATACACTGTCAGACATACTGACATACACTCACACAGACCTGACACACACACAGATACAGACACTGTCAAACATACTGACATACACTATCAGACATACTGACATACACAGACACACTGCCAGACATACTGACACACACACACACACACCAGACATACTGACACACACAGAGACATACTGACACACACAGAGACATACACTGTCAGACATACTGACATACACTCACACAGACCTTCTGACACACACACAGATACAGACACTGTCAAACATACTGACATACACTATCAGACATACACAGACACACTGTCAGACATACTGACACACACACACACACCAGACATACTGACACACACAGAGACATACTGACACACAGATACATACTGACATACACTCACACAGACCTTCTGACACACACACAGATACAGACACTGTCAAACATACTGACATACACACATACACTATCAGACATACTGACATACACAGACATACTGACACACACAGACACATACACTGTCAGACATACTGACACACACACACACACACACAGACACACTGTCAGACATACTGACACACACACACTATCAGACATACTGACACACATACACACAGACATACTGACACACACAGACACATACACTATCAGACATACTGACACACATACACACAGACAAACTGACATACATGTAAAATTTACATTTTAAGCCCACCCTCCAGTTTCCTACCTTTTGCTGGAGGGTGGCATCCCTGGGATCCAGTGTGCTGCCTGAGGATGATGTGAGTGAGGAGCCCCCATCCTCACTGCCTCCTCCTCCCTCCCGTGCAGGTCCTTCTTCTCCCGCGCAGCAGCTCTTTATGGGAGGAAGTGACGCTTGGCACTCACTTCCTCCCAGCGGTGCCGAAAAGCAAGAGGCCCGGTCACGCTGTTAAAGGGCCACAGCGCCCGACCGGGCCCCTGCTGGTACAAGCCCACCGGGTGGCCCTAAGTGCATGGGCCACCCGGTGGGACTCCTTACAGTGCGGGGGGGCCCTAAAGCGGCCGGGAAACATTTTATTTTTTTAGGGCAGTGGGGCCCACGGGACAGCTGCCTTGGGCCCCCAGGAGTAATTGGGCCCGGGGCAGCTGCCCCGTTTGCCCCGCGTTAAAGACGGCCCTGAGAGCAGGCATGTTAGCCTTTGATCCTCACGTACATCAATGAGCCTTTGGAGCCCATGACCTTGATGCTGGTTCACCAGTTGTCCTTCCTTGCACAACTTTTAACCACTGTCTACCGGGAACACACCACAAGACTTGCCGTTTTGGAGATGCACTGACCCAGTCACCTAGCCATCACTATTTCGCCATTGTCAAGTCACTCAGATCTTTTTACATGCCCATTTTTCCTGCTTCCAACCAGTGGTGGCTCTAGACTTTGTGAGGCTTAAGGCAAGACTCAAACATGAGGCCTCCACTAACACTCACTGTAAAAAAATAGATAGTGGTTGTATTGTGTGTGTATAACGAGCTGAAGTTATAGTGATGGGCAGGCTTGCATTGCTGGATACAGAGAGCTAGTCTCTGTATTAATTGCTAAGAGGCTTGCAGTGTCACGGTGGCCTGTGCTGTGTTGTGAGCTCCCTGACTGAAATTATGGCATGATTTGCAAACTAAATTAATTTGCAATAAAACAATTACATATTCAATTATACTAATCATTTTATACACTATTGCAAGGTATGTTTGCGTAGCCTAGCAGTCGTGCATACATAAGTACCAGTGTAACGAGGGGTTATTGCAAACACAAATTAAACATTTGACTGGGCAAAAAGACTTTTAAATAATAATTTACCAAATTACATAAGAAATCATTGTCAAAGACATTTCCCCCACATATTCTATAATCCTTTTACATATATAATATTACCTAATGTGTTATTTATATATTTTCCCCTATGTTTTATAAATTTAGGTATTTTATTTATTTATATATATATATATATATATATATATATATATACACACACACACATATGCAAATACAACAGTTTTAACAGCTCTTTTGATTTTCTATATGTATTTATATTTCTATTTCTATATTTCCATATGTTGCCACTTTGTATTTGCATTGTCCATAACATCCTCACATTGCACATATACACATATACACATTGTTACACGCACACATATGCACACTAATACACAACATACTACACTTACAGAGACACTACACACATTGTCAAATACAGACATGCCTTCACATTGTGCCTGAGAGTTGTTGTGTGAGTATCCTTGTGTATGAATGCATGTCTCTATGAGCATGGGTATGTTTGTTTCTAGGACATTATGTGTGTGTGTGTGTAGTAGCAGCATGTGGTGTGTTATGTGTATGGAGACTGCTTGTGACCTTTGTGCTTTGTGTTTATGGTGAAGATATGTATAATCACTGTTTGTGCATGATGAATGTCTTCATGGTGACAAGATGAGTAAAGGGGTAACTGTGGCAGGGTGAGTGTGACAAGGCGAGTGGGTGAATGAGACAGGGTTAGAGAGGTGAGTGTGACAGAATGAGGAAGGAGGAGTGTGACAGGGTTGGGGGTGAATGTGAAATGGTTAGAGTAGGGAGTGCAACAGGGTAAGTGGAGGAAAGTGTAACAGAATTTGGGGGCAGAGTGTGACAGGGTGAGAGTGGCAGGGTTGGAGGGAGAGTGGCAGGGTGACAGAGTTGAGTTTAGTGTAGCATGATTGGACAGGGTGAAGTGAGGTGAGCATGACAGGATTAGGGACATGGGTGAGTGTGGCATGGTTGAGAAGGATGAGTGACAGGATTGGATGGGTTAATGTGATAGGATGAGTGTCACATAATGATAGAGTAGGAGTGTGGCAGGGTTGGGAGTGAGTGTGACAGTGTGAGAAAAGATGAGTGAGACAGGGTTGGGGTGGTTAATGTGATATGGTGAGGGCAATTAGTGTGGTATGGTTGGAATGGGTGATAGTGGGTTTAGGAAGGGTTAATGTAAGTGTGGCTTTGTGAAGGGGATGACAGCATGTGTGGGGATGCCAGCATGTTAAAGGGTGACAGTGTTTTGTAGGTACAGTGTGGGAGGGTGACAGACAGTGTGTGTGGGAGGGTGACAGTATGTTTGTGAGAGGGTGACTGTGTGTGGGAGTTACAGTGTGTGGTGTGGCCTTGTGTGTGTGGGGCTGACCATCAGCCTGAGGCCTTAGATGGCCACCTATCTTGCATAATTAGAGAGCTGCCTCTGTTTTCAATAAGTAAAATTAAAGAACTGCTGCGTAGTATAACCCAGCCATTGACATATGCCATTATAACAATATAATCAATGTTATTCATTTCACCTGTCAATGGTTTTAATGCTGTGGCTGATCAGATTATGTGCTGTGCTTCTGTTTTTGGAATGAGTATAAATAAACCATTTAAAAATTAAAAATAAACAAATAAAAGCTATTATTTTTCGTTTATTAAAAAAATAAGAATTTTAATGTTAATTATCAAATTAAATATACAAGTCATGTACATGGTGAGGTCATAGCATTAAAAATAAATAAATTAAATATTTTAGTTAAGAAAAACAAAATATTTACAATTTTAGTCACATAACTAACCTTCTTTATGTACATACATTATGATTGTTAGCATTTTTATAGCATCAACATATTCGACATGTGTTTACAATTATAGAAAGGTGATATGAAGAAGGCCCTGTTTAAATGAGTGGACAATCTTGGATCTGTGGATTTAAGCTAGGCTTGCCCAAGGTGTCTTGCCCATGACCAGTATTGTGGTCTGATTGGTGAGATCTAATCCTGGGTATCCGAGCAGCAACGTTACCACTGCTCTAACCAATCAATATCATAATTAATGGTTTAATTTTCTCTCTTTCCATTTATAGTTTTTAATGCATTTCATAAGCAAAAATGTAAAGTGATCATATAAATGTATATTCATTTACAAAGATATACTAGTTCAACATTCAAGCCTCCTTAAAAATGTAGTGGGTTTAACACTGAAAAGGGAGTTATGGTCTTGTGACCAAAAATGTAGGCCAAGAGTATACTTGAAAAAAAAAATATATATATATATCCAGTATAAACAATTAACACTAACATAAATGAGAACTATTATTTCTATTATCAAGAAATAATACAATATTTGATTGTCATGGTTTGACAATAATCTACACATTGTTTACACTTGTTAACTATAAAACCACAGATCAATGAATAAATATAGAAATATAAATACATATAGAAAATCAAAACAGCTGTTAAAACTATTATGTTATGGTATATACAGGTTTAGTTTTAATTACAATTAATAAATAAATGTATACATATCTGCAGAGTTGCTAGTAAATATGCTGGTCTTTAAAAAAAATAAAAAAATAATAATAATAATAATTCTATATTCAGTTATGGACACTCCCCCATTTGACAATCAGTTGCTGGAATAAACTGACGGAGGAAAATAGAACCCCCAGAGGCAGTTTTCCTGTCCTCTTTCAGAGATATTCTGAGATGCATTTGCTGGGAGAATATAGGAATGTAGAAGCTGATATCACTCCATTCTGATGCTTGTCATAGCAAGTTTACTTGAAGTCAGCTTAATTTTTATTTATTTTCTTTGTTGAAGTTTGTACTTCGTGACAACTTTCCATTCGATTCACCAGTTATTGAGGAAGTACAGTTGATGTCTTTGAGCTAAAAAAAAAAAAAAGGGTACTATAATGTTTGTTTACTACAATGATCAGAAAATAAATATATATTATAATATATATAATATATATATATATATCTATAGAGGGAGAGGTTGAGAGAGATGGAACATGACAAATTAGAACATGACAAATTATGTAAAGGAGTGCATGTTTTTGCAAAAATAGACCCATTCTTCAACACAGTTATGACACGTAGTAATATATGTATGATATCTGCAGCATATAATATTTTATGCAAAAATTGTTGTCTAATCCAATAAAATAATATAATTCAATCTAAGTTAATATCACCAGAGATGTTTAGATTATAACTGATAACAACAAAGTTGCTATTCTAGTCAACAAGTTATCAAATTTACCTAGAAATCTTATATTATTAGTTTATTTTATTAGAGGGCTAGGCTTTCCTAGGCATTCTCAATACCTCCAGGGCTTGGGTGCTCAAAAGGTATATCCCCAGTTGTTTTATAACTACAAGATCCATGATGCATGGCCATTCTAAAGATTTGGAACAGCGTTGTGCAATCTGTAATTCTACAATATACGAGCATCTACATTTTGCCATTCCTTTCGTAGGGTGCACTGTCCCCTCTATGTAATTTGTTTTTTTGCAATGCTTTGTAGAACACATTTGTAATACTGTATGTGAAAATTAAAGGAAGTTATTTGAAATTGTCAGTTGCATTATCATTTTAGTTGTTTTATTTACCTGTCTAGAATTTTATCCACAATCTTCTTAACCCATGGGGCCGATGGTTCTAAGCATACTTCTTGTCCATTTTTTAAAGTTAATCTAGGGATATCAACAACAGAAATGATTATCATTACTTGTGTTTATCATTACATCTAAAGTAGAATATTATGTTCCAAATATTAATTCAGAAAAAATACAACTGAAAATACTTACATTACTTCCACGTTTTTGCAATGTGGACCTTTGGGAATAATCTCAATATTCTGATAATGTTTACGGGAGATAAACTTTGACTCTGTACTTATGCAAACACACCTCAGTTCACTCATTCTTGCCATGGGCATTCCTGTGGAAGAACAATTTCTAATTAATAATGCAGCAATACATTCAGCACATTTTACTGTCAGTTATATTTATTACAACAGGTAGGTAAAATTAGACGATTAAAATTCAATAAAAAAAAAATATGGATAAATGATAATGATCAGCTCTTTATTCACTTCAGTAATACGTAAAATGCTTACCCCTGGATACAGCAGAACATGTCAAATAAATTGCTAATAAACAAAAAAATTTTGTCTGAGTTTCCATGTTTCTTTCTATATTTCTTGGGTTAGATGCAGTTAGTTGGTGTTGCCTGTCTTGTTATTGTTTTGTGCAGACACTGATTCCTTTTATAAGTAGCTTGAATTGTGAAACAGGAATTTCCAGGCTGAACAAGCACATGGTGTGAGTAATAAAAAAGCATGCTCTATTCTGATTCTTTTGTCTTACTTTTTTTCTGCAATATTTGTTTAAATCATGTAAGCAGATAACATTGGAGCTTTCCCAGTGAAGTAGTGGGGAAACTTCCAGGGCACAAAGGATGTTTTAATAAGCAAGAAGTTGGGGAAATTGGGAAGCATCATAATATTCAGTATATATCCTGGTTCTCCAGCTCAAGGAAACACAGTGTAAGAAGAAATACATTCATATATTCAGTAAAATATATACTCTCTTTTTGCCTATTGAATTGCAAGTAATAAAATAATGCAGTAAGATGTTTCATTCTTTACCGAACTGTTTTGCAGTATAGAGTATTGTAGTACAGGCAAGTTTAAGAACTTACTCCCTTAATCAACTCTAAAACACTGCAAAAATGCTCTCAACTTAGGGGGGAGCAAGGTCCTGATGTGAGCAGTCGAAGGTCCACGGAGCTCTATGCTTGCAAGCTAAATTTGCACAAATAACGGCAAGGGGACACCAGTGGCGGATCCAGAGACGGATCTCGGGAGGGGCACTTTTATATTATTTAAAGACATAATCCATGCACAATAACCACTACAGCTCTGTGTAGTGGTTATGGTGCCGGGACCCCCTCCCAGAGTAAGTAGTCAAACCGTTTAAGAACAGTTTGACAACTTACCTGGGATCTGCTGGGGTATGGGGCTGTAGTGGGGCATAGGAGCAGTGGTGTACTGTGAGGGGTGCAGTGTGTGTGTGTGTGTGTGAGGGGTGCAGTGTGTGTGTGTGTGGGGGGGGCAGTGTATGTGGGGGCAGTGTGTGTGTGGGCAGTTTATGGGGGGCAATGTGTAAATGTGTGGTGAGGAGGGTAGGGGGCTTTTTGTTAAAAATAAATAAAGAATGTATAAAATTAAATAAATGTATGTCCCAAGCCAAAGACTTCATAGACTTTTAACAAAAAAGTATGTACATATGATTTATATTTGACTTCATTTCTGTACATTACTGTGTTTTAAGGCACGGTTATCTATTTTTTGTATTTGTCTTTTGTCTCTCTTCCTACAGGGTTTTAGGGAATCCTTGTAAGATTTACGGCTGCCTTAAAGTATATAGTGAGCACCTAATTTTTGTGGTTTTTATAATATCCAAAAATCACCCAGATCGGTTCAGTGGTTCGGAATTTCCCTGAAAGTCTTAATTTGACCGATTGCACACAAGGTTTCTGCTCAAAATAGATCCAGGGAAAAAGTGGTAGCAGTCGGTCAAGTTCGGTAGTTTAAAAGAGAACAAACTACTAAACAGAATCCATTGCCATACCGTGGAGCTTATTCCTTTCATACAGACAAACGATTTTCAGTTCCATGAACTCGACGACCAAACACCGATACCTGCGTTGGTGCGAACAAGATGGCCGCCCAGATGAACCATTTGAACACTGCGGTTAGGTTTGTTACAATGTATCCATTAGGCTTAACAAGCTCCAGGGTGGTCCATAGTTCGTGTGGCTGTTCGGTTCCTGAACAGCATAAGGGAATCACATGAACAAAGCCAGTTAAATAGTCTTTTACAGGCTTCCCTGCAGGGCCTATAGTCTGTGGGGAGGAGACGGGCAAGCAGACTGATGCAGGAGCTTGTATAAAAACTCATGTGGGAAGGGGAATTTGTCACAGTTGGCTTATAAGGTATTTTCCTGGGACCAACTGGATGATTTTTTTTTGTCATCATATTTTTTCCTTTTATTTTTATGATTTATGATTTTATTTTTTTTGGCCTTTTTTAAATTAATACCTCTCATCCACTGCAAATAAGTTAAAAGATGGGGCGACATTAGGTCCCCCTTTGGTATTATTGATTAACTAACCTTTACACTCAACCTATTGGTGGAAGCTGGGGGTATATTAACATCATTGCCTATATGGGGGGCATTATGTCCCACCATTTTTTTTAATTAGAGGGAGGCATGGGGAGGTTATAAACCTTCCATATATAATATGGGGTAAATATTTACCTTCACAGGCTTTTTAAAAAAAAACTATTTGATTGCTGGGTGCTAATGCTGCCAGCTGGAAAATAGTAAAATAAAGCATTTATCAATTTTCAAGGATTTTCTGATTCTTATCCAATCAATAATATTATAACCAATATATATCAGCTCCTGATAAGCCTTTAAGGTCCATAATGTAATTGATTTGAACCAATGAAAGGCGTATGGAGAGCTAATAAACTATCAATAAACATTATCACCTGAAATGTATGAAATGAGGCCATTATTTGAAGACATCAATTGCAACATCAGCTGCAAGAGCACTATTTAAAAGAACTTAGCTAGGATGACCTGGTTGATGCATTTTTTTATCCATATAATTTTTTAAAAATTTTTTTGTAAAATAAACATGCTAGATTTTATCAATTATACTTTGTAGTTGTGGCAGGCAGCTAGAATAAAGATATTTTCCAGTTTTTTTTTAAGATCAACTTAACCAATTTAACCGTCTGGTATACTAAAGGAATAGAGACCAATTTTAAAAAAGCTGCAGTAATGGATTTCTCTGAACTATATTCAGGATATATTTAATTTATTTTTATTTTTACGTGGAAGGATACTCCAAAATGATTAATAATATTCAAACCTTGAATTGCATATGAACCATATCCGAGGGGAGATGATAATAAAAGTATTTCCTTATGCTATAAGAAAATGTTGTAATCAAAATACTTCCAAAGATTTTGTAAGACATAACTTTTTTTATGTTTAGATTCTTTATTTAGAGACCAGTGCAAAATATAGATAAAATAAGACAAGTCATGCTAGACAGCTCCATGTCCTCGAAATGTCCTTGCCAAATTCAATATTTTCAATGCTAAGTATAATATCGATTTTGGATATTTTTTTAAAATTCTATATTATTCAAACTAATATTTATATGCTCCTGATAAGCCTTTAAAGGCTAATCTGTTTGAATTAATAAAAGTCTTATCAAGAACCTATAAGCTGCTGATAAACTTTATCACCTGTAATGTAATTGAGGTCATTATTAGAAGGTATCAATTGCAATATCAGCTACAAGAGTCTATATGTAAAAAGAAGTTTGCTAGGTTGACCTGAAAGACCCACGTAGATTGTGTTTTTTTCTACCAGGATCTCCAAATAAAATAGCAAAAGACAAAATAAAAGGCATCCAGAAAGAGGATCGCACACAGTTTTTTCTAATATTACCCCAAACTAACTTTCATGTATTCTCAAAGGAATACACACTATATGGGACAATTACAAAAGAAAAATGTTCACTTCTAGATTTTTGTGAACTACTAGGTATATTCAGTCTACTGAAAATTGGCTTCTTAAAGTATATTCAATTTTTTTTTTCATGTAAAGATACCTCAGTATAATTAATACTAAAATTATTTGTTTGCATTTCAAACTTTTAGTTGCATAGAAATCATATGCAAGGGGAGAGGACATTAAAACAACTATTTCATCCTGTTATGAGGAAATTTTGCAATCAAATGGTTCACCAAGCTGTTGTGAGACATAACCTTTTATTCTTTATTTGGGAACCAGTGCAAAATACAGAGAAAATGAGACAAGTCATAGCATGCAGCATAGGCGTTGCTACAGGGAAGTGATGGTGGCATTTGTCAACCCCCTCCCCAAATTCCTAAGATCTCGATTGAGTATATGTAAGATGTGCTGGAGCATTAAATGCGATTCATAGAGGCTCCACCTTGCAACTTGCCAGACTTAAAAGATCTGATGCTAATGTCTTGGTGTAAGATACCACTGGGTACGTTCAGAGGTTTTGTGGAGTCAATGCCTTAATACATCAGAGGTGTTTTGGCAGCATGAAGAGACTCTATACAGCAAGCATGTCAAACTTGCAGCCCACAATTGTTATGTCTTTGAAAAGGAGAACCCAAATTGTGAAACACAACTGTAGAGGTAATTTATGGTTGTACCTTTAAGGACTGGTTGCCAGTAATAACTATAGTAGTCATCAGCCCAAATACTGTACATACAATCATAAATAAGAGATTTTACCTGCATACTCTCGCCAAATCCCTATGCACATTTCAATAACAGGGGTTTTTAGTACATCTTAAGTGTCCTTTTAAGTGTACGCAGCAGATGAGTTTATACTTTAATAGCCATTTAAGTGGTACTAAAAATCTCTTTTATTTAAATTCGCATAGTGATTTGGGATAGCCCGCAGGTAACTTTTTTGTTTTGTTTTGTACATTGCAAAGTGTTGTGGTTCCCTCAAATATATGTTCAGGAAATAGTTTTTCAATCTCTATTTTACATTTTTTAATTGACTTTGTTTGAGGGTGAGTGAGCTATTTTTGTTATCTTTTGTTAATCTTGGTATTTTGTGAGAAGAAACAGTAGGCTTTCTTTACTGTGTACTAGTGGAAATTATGTAATACAGGACTTCACTGCTGCCATCTATTGTTCAGAATATATTTAACTTGGTTGAAGCCTTGATACTTTCATCTGAATTCTGCTTGTTACCTGGCTTCTTGGTTATAAACCGTTATAAAACATGGTTATAAACTGATTTCAAAAAGAAATAAACTGTAAAGGGTATCATGTAAAATCAACTAAAAATAATGGAGTAGCACTGGTAACACTATTATATTCATGTAAAAACATGTATACATTTCTTAAAATGTTTTGTTTTATCTGTTATACCAAATAAATTTTCTAGTATTTTTTGCTTATTTGTACTTGAATACTCTGGCGGACTCTCTCCGAATTCCTGGGCACCTGTGATATGATATGCTTATACACCTCTGCAATTTTGTAAGTGTTTCCTTATCTAGTGCTTTTCTTTCTCTCCTATATGCCCTTATACGTGGGGAAGATCGCTAGTCAACTTAACTATTGATGTGCCTTCAATCAACCTTTTTATTGTGA